GCTCAGCCCAATGAGCGAGGGGCACCCGAAGTTTGTCACATCGCAGAGCTCATCCATCAAGGGTCTGACATTTGCATGACAAAGAGCTTTCAATCAAACCCTGCCCATCAATCTGATAACAACACGAATACGTCAAAATCTTTCCTCAAAGACTTTCAAAGAGAGGAGGGAGGTGGGGTGAGGGGGAAGATGGGCTGAGGGGGGGGGAAGAATTTGGAATTATCCACAACTGTTTGAAAGTGCTAAAAAGGCCCCGAGTTATGCCATCAGCCAATTTCAGTCAAACCTCCCTTTGCCCCAACCTAAAAAGAAGGTTTTCCTCAACTCCACCTCCACGTGGGAAAAAGAAAGAGGGAAAGGAGATAGGGAGATGTGACTTCTCTGTCCCCCCAAGCACAAAACGATGCTCTTTGCTTCATTTCAAGACTTTGCCCTAGAAAGTGGCTTGAAAGTGTTTGGCTTTTTCTAGGATGAGGAGTCCAATAAAAGCTCCTAAGAGAAATACTCTCCATGTGGTTTAATTTTGCCACACGGGCTTTGTGTCTAGGGCCAGTGTGGGGAAAAGCAATGTAATTAAATCAATATTCTAATGAGGCGATGGAATAAAGTTAGGAAGACAGAATGTCTTTTGTTGGACAAATACCATGCCCAGCTTAGCAATTACAGCAATGAAACTAAAAATGATCCATGTTTCTATGTAGCATCTTCCCATCCATCCGTTCATGAAAACAAATCGTGGTTTAAGGGTTTTAAGCAATTCTGGAACATAAAGTTCTGCTTTTCCTTGGCAAACCTGGTTTGATCTTGCCCCGAGTGTGTTGTCACACTAGAGTTTTCTCCAGCTGAGGAGTAGGTGGGAAGACACTGCCTTCAGCTTGGCCACTCCACTGCTCAGAGAATGGAAACATAGGTAGGCAACATTTATTTACTTGTTAGCTCAAGGGAGACAAGAGCACCCAACAATATGACGCCCACACTCATTTGTTACTTGTCAGGATATTTACTGCTTATTCAGCCTCCAAGAAGAACCAGGAGTGCTCTCTGTCTCTTGCTCTCTCTCCCTCTCTCTCTTTTTTTACCCCAGGCCAAAAGTTCACTTTGAAAGGCAAAACCACGTCCTTCAGCTCGAAGGTTTGGCTGATGCAACACGTTGGGGTAACATTTGTTAAGATGCTCCAAAACTCCAACACAGGCAGTCCTGGCATCAAACCTTCCTCCCTCCTTTAAATCCTGCCGAGAGAAAACTTTGAGTTTTAGCCAATTGCGACTCTTGTCCTTCAATAAACAGAATAAGTAAAGTATTTCCAGAGCCTCGTGCCTATTTATTCATTTATTCTGCCGACTTTGCTGATGCTGAGAGACTCGAGAAGGAAATATTTTAGGTTACAAATGTGCCCTGTAACTCTCTACCTCCTCCTTTGCATAAACCAACCCAAAGTGAATATAAAGATTCAAAGCAACTCTCATGTCATTCCCCTTTGCAAGAGAAATCGATTTCTAATTTGATTCCAGCAGTGCTTTTTATATTATGTTGCACTCGCGTTTAAACGAATGTATTCTCTTTAAACGATGCTTCCAATAGATGATTTATAGGCGCAAAATGAAAAAAGAAAAGGATAGATGTTTATTTCAGCCTTGAATCAATTGTTTCCTATTTTCTGATCATTTTCCACCCTGATCTCACTCCACTCTTACATCAAGGGGATGTTTGATGGCATTAAAATACAGCTATGCCCTGGAGGGGCAGAATTAGCTCGCGGAGAACTCGTTGGTCCAGAGTTAGAGAGGAGAAAGTTTAGCTGTAAATCCTCAGCAAAGGCTAAACCAAGACTTGAGGCAGTTGATGAGCTCTATCCCCGAGCTCTGCAGCCTCCCCAGCTCAGACTTTTGGGGATGTGGAAGCGAAGATGGAACGAGGAGGAGATATGTGGGGCTGGAGTCACTTTGGGAAAAGCTTTTTTGGTCCCTCTGTGGAGTTAACTGTCAGATAACGACTGATAGGATGTGGAAGTGGAGAGGGAGAAGAGGATGTTGTGGGCTGGAATCACTTTGGAAAAGGCTTTTTTTTTTGGTCCCTCTGTGCCCAAAGATGAGGTGTTTGGAGCTGATTTCCTCCCAGAAAGGAGTAGCCACCTTCTCCCCCCTCCTTGCCCCAGGGCACTGCGGGGCCACTCACCATCTGCTCCTCTCCGGAGCCTCTCAGGCCACTCCGTTCTTACCTGCCGGGGGACACAAGCAGCCAAACACCGGCAGATTCCGGGGGAAAGAGCCAGATTCCATCCCCACTCTCCCGACTGGAGCAGGATCCCAAGAATTCCCTGGAGAATCCCTTCCCGAGGCTTCCAGGCTGCTGCTTATCCCCCACACTCCCCTCCGGCCCCGAAATTCTTACCCAAACCGCATGACTTGTGGTGTCTGCGAGGTATTTTCCAAAGTCACAGCATCAAAGTGAGTGCAGAGACATTGGGAATCGCTTAGGAATGGCCTTTCCAAACTTCCTTCGTTGCTCCTTGCCCTGGATCCGATGGCAAATCATTTCGGTTATTATGAATGTTATTATTGGGTTTAATTCCCACTGTGGAGAAGGTGTGAGACCCGAAATGGGTTCAGACCTTCCGAACCCACCGGAAAAAGAAAAAACAGGTTATTGTTAACAATCAATCACTAGCTAAGCCTAATTCTGGCCATAACCTCCGTTATGGGGAGTTGAGAGAGAGAAGATGGTTAAGGAAAAGGTGTAGATGGAAATTCTCACGTTATGAGAGCTCTGATCTATCCCTTAGCCTTTTTTTTTTTTTCCTTACTTAGCCTTTCTTTTCTTTACTACTTGATTTTCACTTCTGTAGTGAAGGAAACACTAATTCCTACTCCCCAAACTCCAGGTTGCACAGTTCGGGGAATGCTTTTCTCCCTTTCACCCAACGGGATTAAAACAAAATATCTGGAGATGGATGAGGATGAATGGGGGATTTTTAGTTCTTTGATTCCTGGAAAAAGAAGCTACGCTGTCCCAGAGATAGTTCATGGGAGGCAGAGGAGATGATTTCCCTGCCTGCTGGTCCAGATCTCCAGCACGGAGCTGTTCCCTCACTCCCAAATAGCTGATAAGGGCCTAAAGCACTTTAAAACTACAGCCACTAAACCTCAGACTTCAATCCAGGAGCAGATAAGAATTGAGGAGGTCAGCAGGAGCAGAACATCGTTTTTCCAAGGAGTTCTTGGTAGAGAGGACCTCTCATACCCACCAAAAACCTCCCGTGCCCTTGGCCCCTCCATCCATCCACTCGGTGGGACAAAATCTCAGGAAGGTTCTCTGTCCCGAAGTGGAAACACAACATCTCCTCTCCACTAAATCATCAAGAAGGTCTTTTGCCTTCAAATTCCCACCCGGGAGGGAAACGATTTCTTTTGGTCCAAGCATCTTATTCAACTAAATGTTTCCTTGAGAGCAGTTTTTTCCTTTTAACGACACAAAGCGACTCCACGAACCTCGAGGCTGCAGCAGCTTGGGGGAAAGAGCAAGAGGAGATCTTACCCTTCCCTATGAGTTGGTTTATCCTCTTTCAAACCACTCTCCTAACCCTCCGAAGACACTTTGTGGGAGTATCTCTTGTAAGAAATCTTCACCCGAGACAGAGCAGAGAGTTTTGTGTATAAGCTACACAGAAAGAATGAAGCATTTCCAAAGGCTTCAGAGTCTTCAGCTGCTTCGTTTTTGGAGTTAAATATAACTCTCTGTGGAGAAAGTTTGTGTCGTGAGTAAGAAATGTCACTTCTGGCTCCTGGAGGGATGATTTATAGGCAGCACTGCTGACACTGGGATGCGTGTTTGGCTGAGGATTTGGGAATCACCAAAAGGACTTGGCCCTAAGAATTGTCAAGGAAATTTATAACCCCGGCAAGTGTCTTGCTTAGCTCATAGTCTGCTAAGCTATATTTGGGGGTAAAAACTGAAGAAGGAAGAGAAAATAGTATATGGAAAAAAACAAAAAAAGCTTCGGAGTTTGGGAATTCAAAGAAGTGCAGAAGGAATTTTTTCTAATGAGCTGCACTCACGGGGCTATCTCCGAGCTGCAGAATAAATACAAGATAATTAAAATAAGATACAATGATTCTTATCTTGGGAGGGATCGACACCTGAGGGTCCCTGGACGAGTTGGACCCACAGGTGGTTAATATCCCCCTGAAGGGTTGGGAGATTTGTTCACAGGGGAGAAGGATGTGCCTTGAGTTCTTGGTGTGCTGAGCACCACTTTGTGTGGAAGACTGGGCTAGAAAAGCCTCTTTGGATTTTTTTTCCCTTTCAAACTCCTCCTCCTCCTGTGCCAAGAGATCAAATTCCTCCTCAGACGGCTCAGGGGAAACCTGTCCTGTTTCCTTGGGCATCACATCGGCTGTTTCTATGTGGTCCCCAGGGCAGAAGTGTTTCTGGACATTAATGTAAACCTCTGCTGGGTGAGAGTGGAGAGATCTGGAGCTGCTGCCTCTGTGCAGGGTACCTGGAGGATCCTAAACCCCTTGGGTTTCATTTATCTAGCACTGGCAGGCCCGACTCGTTCGCTCCTTAACTTCCTTTTAACAAGTGCATGAATTTATTAACAACTTCATCAATATTGCTGATATTAGTAGGTCAGATTATTGATATCAACCAGCGCTAGAGTGAGCAGCATCCCACTGGAGATGAGCTCGAATTGGGGAGGTTCTTCAGTTAATTTCTCCGGTCTAGCATTCTGTATTTTCCCATTCGATAAAAAGAGATAAAAAATAACCAGGACAGATGTGGGATGTGTCAGGATGGTGAGCAGTAGGTTCATTCTGCC